CCTAGCAGCAGCAGCTTAGCAGCTGCAGCCCCCAGGTGACCCCACAGGGGGGCCCCGGGGCCCCCCGGGGCCCCTAGCCCCTTAGGGCTTTCAGCGGGGGCCCCCGGCCTCTGGGGCCCACAGTACCCTCAGGGGCCCCCCAAATAAGCCAGGGGGCCCCTAGCTGCGGCTAACGGAGCGGCTGCGAGTCCTTCTCTCCTTGGGCCTTTCCGCAGAGGGGGCCCTGCAGCAGCAGCAGCAGCAGCAGCAGCAGCAAGCAGCAGCAGCAGAAAAAAGCATTAAAACTGCAGCAGTGGGCCCTCACTGTTGATGCACAGCTGCCTCTGCCTGCTGCAGGGGCCCCCGGGGGCCCCAAGGGCCCCTAGGGGCCCCTGCTGAGGCCCTCGGGCGGCCTCTCGTGGCACTGGGGGCCCTCACCTCCTTGGACTCCTGCTGCGGGTGCGTTCTCTTCTTTCTGTTGCCAGCAGCAAATAAACAGCAGGCACACAGAAGAAGCAGCAGCATGCAGCAGCAGCAGCAGCAACACCAGCAGCAAGCAGCAGCAAGGCGGAACAGCAGCAGCAGCCAGCGGCAGCAGCAGCAGCACGGCGGAACAGCAGCAGCAGCCAGCGGCAGCAGCAGCAGCGGCAGCAGCAGCAGACTCACTTCTGTCGCCATCGCCCGCTGATCCACCTTCCGCTTGCTTTTGCTCCTTCCTTGCTGCAGCAGCAGCAGCAGCAGCAGCAACAGCAGCGCAAGTTGCAGCAGCAGCAGCAGAAGCAGCAGCACCAAAGTAGCAACGCCAGCAGCACAAAGAGCAGAAGCACCACAAATAGGAGCAGCACAAAGTAGCAGCAGCAGCACCAGCTGCATCACAAGTAGCAGCAGCAGCAGCAGCAGCACAATCAGCAGTAGCTCTGCTGCACTGAAACTCGTGGACAGCTGCTCTTTGAGGGTTTAGGGTTTAGGGTTTAGGGTTTACCTTGGTGGCGTTCATGTGTCTTCGATGAAAGCTCAACCCGCAAAGTCTTCCCGTCTAGAATCCCCTGCAGCCGCCGTAAACCCTAAACCCTAAACCCTAAACCCTTTGAACCCGCTACTTGAGCAGCGAAAAAAGGCTAGAAGCAGCAGTCTCGAGCAGTTACAGGGCGTAGTCCCTGGTGTGAATTAGGGTTTAGGGTTTAGGGTTTAGGGTTTTCGGCGTCAGGCTTTGGGGTTTAGGGCTTGCCCTACGAAGGTGCCTGAGAGTGCTTCCAGTCCAAAATTCATAGGGTTTAGGGTTTAGGGTTTAGGGTTTGTGGCTTGCCCATTGAGGTGCCTGAGGGCGTTTTAAATTCAAATTGCCTAGGGTTTAGGGTTTAGGGTTTAGGGTTTATGGCTCGCCCCCGGAGTTGCCTGAGGGCGTCTTCAGCAAAAATTGCACAGGGTTTAGGGTTTAGGGTTTAGGGTTTGCGCCCTTCCCCGTGAAGGTGCCTGAGGGCGCTTTCGGCCTACGATGCACTGAATTTAGGGTTTAGGGTTTAGGGTTTGTGGCTTGCCCTGTGTAGGTGTCTGAGGGCGCTTTCGGCCTCGGATGCACAGAATCACGGGTTTAGGGTTTAGGGTTTAGGGTTTGTGCCTTGCCCTGTGGAGGTGTCTGAGGGCGCTTTCGGCCTCGGATGCACAGAATCAAGGGTTTAGGGTTTAGGGTTTAGGGTTTAGGGTTTGCGGCTTGCCCCGTGGAGGTGTCTGAGTGCGTTTTCGGCCTCTCGCTGGGTGTCGAACTCCACGTAGGCGTAGCCCTTGGGAATTCCGGCTTTTTTGTCAATGGCCAAATCACAAGATCTAATAACTCCATAAAGTCCAAAAACTTCTCTTAAATGAGCTTCTTTGACGTTTCGAGAGAGGGAGGACACGTTCAGCGTGCACGAGCGGTCGCGCCGCATCTTCAGACCCCACCTAGGGTTTAGGGTTTAGGGTTTAGGGTTTAGGGTTTGCGGTTTCAGGTGCGACCCCGCCGCCGCAGCCGCCCAGCGCCCGAACACAACGCGAAAGCCTCTTGCGGCGGACCACAGCCGCAAAACCCTGCCAACAGCTCTCCTGAAGAAGCCGGGGGTTTAGGGTTTAGGGTTTAGGGTTTAGGGTTTAGGGTTTAGGGTTTGGGATGCGCGAGGAGTTGCTGCAGCCACAACCAAGCCGGGGATGGGGAAAGAGGTGTTTGAGAGGAAACCGCCAAAAAGAGCTCGAGCCAAAAGGACTAAAGGCAAATTTTTAGGGTTTGGGGTTTGCTGCGAGGGTTTAGCCACTAGGGTTTAGGGTTTAGGGTTTAGGGCTGAGGGAGCCCAGCGCAGCCTCGGGGCCCCGCTTCGCCCGCCCATTAGGGCTTTGTACCAAAACCCTTAACTTTTAGGTCTTTTGCTTTTTATTCTTTTCCTTTTTGTTTGTCTGGGGCCCCTAAGGCTGCACAAACTCTATAGGCAGCAGCAGCAGATCTCTTCTGCTGCTGCTGCCTCTGGGGGCCCCCCAGTACCCTTTCGAAGCTGCTGCAGTCCCATGCCCCCCCAGGAGGCCCTGGGTGCTCCTGAGCCCCCGCCTGAGAGGCAGTTTAGGCTTGAGGGCTACGGGTTTAGGGTTTAGGGTTTAGGGTTTAGGGTTTAGGGCTTAGGGTTTAGGGTTTAGCCCTGGGATGCAGCCCCCCGGCCCCGGCGGCGCCTCAGAGGGCCCTTCTGCAGGGGGGCCCCCCTCTGCACCCCACACAGGGGGGCCCCCCTCTGCCCCCCACGCAGGGGGCCCCCCCCTCCCCCTAGTACCCCCTCCCTTGGGGGCCCCCCAGGCGGGGGCCCCCCGGGCT